AAACCTTAGTAGTTGTAACAGTTTGAAGGCTTATGATTCTAAGTCTTTTTTCATTTTCCATTTTTTTAAAAAAAAATTTGAAATTTCTTTTTCTTCTTTTCTTTTCACTAAAATCAACTAGTTAAAAAACCAAGTTATAGGCCATCAAATCACATGCCATGATGAGCCACATTTAACCCAAAATCCTTATGAGAAATTCATTAAAGCAATGCAAGGATGGAAAAGATACAATCCTTATAAAAAATACTATATTGGAAATGAAATTTCATGCACAAATTGATGAGAATCATGATTATAATTTGTAAACCTACATATCTCCCATATACACAAGTTGATAGTATGTACAGACTATTTTTTACTATCAATGTATATTTGCCTTTCTATGGTATATCTAGTAAGATCTAGAAAGTGATGTGTAATAGCTATAAAAAAAAGATAAATTGATTGAAGTTATGAATCAAAATTACCTTAAAGTAAGTATGGCAGTGCAAAAAGTTGATAATATTAAAAAATGCATTATCATCATTTGCAACAGTAAGAATTCATATTTGTGTGATAGAATCTTTTTGCCTTTCAATTCATCCAGCATGCTCATATATTATGGCCAAATCTGTATGCATGTACCTAGTATATCCATATTTTCTAGGTACTTCTTCTACGATAGCGGACATCTGTAGTAGCAATTATAGTTTGTCCCACACAAATGACATAAAATTTTATTAAAACCTTATAAATTTAAGATGATTAAAGATAACAAACTTTCATCATTCACACAAAAGCTTTTGGGAGCCGTATACATTTTTGAAATGCATGCATTAAATATCCAAAATGCAAGAACAACGAGAATCATAAACAACGATGAAAAATACAGGTTCATGGATCTCTGGTTTTCACAGTTGACATTTTTCATTTTTTTTACTAACTTTTCCTTTTCTTTTGGCTTTAGAGAAACTATAAGTTTTTTGAACTTTTTGTTAGCCATTAGCACATTTACTTTGACTCTCTGCAAAAATTTAACCATATCAATATACAAAATGAAAATATTACCCAATATGATTTGTAACTGATTTTAAGAAAGCCATCCTTGAATCCAAAAACGACTACAAGGTTTTTGAATTCATTGCCTTTAGTTGCTTCATTTGCTCTTTATACATTTTTGCTGTCAATGTACTTGCATTTGACTGTCTAAGCATTCCTTTAGAGCCAATAACATTTACAGAACCACTAAAAAAAAAAGATTAGTATCTTTACGCTGTAATTGAGCTTGATGGAATAGCTACAATTGTTGCATCTGCAACTATTGTTGTCTTTTGTTTTGACTTGTTGTGCCTATACATAATACTATAATGATTTAAAAACAATAAACATAAATTGCAAAATTTACAAAAATTTATAACAATACATGCTAAAGTTGTAAGAAGACACCTCTATGTATCCTACAATAGCTTTTGAATCCTTGTCATTTGTTCTCGATATAAATATGTCCCAAAAGATAGATGACCACTCGAAAAGAAACCCACCAGAGCATCAATTATTGGATAAATAAGCAAGTTCTACATGAGTCACTTAAACTAAATTCCCTCACCTAACAATATGTTACACTGACTACAACATAAAGAAAGCAATGGGAATCAAATTTAACCATTGATTTCAAAGAAAAAATCCCACCATACCATCATTAATTTAAAAATAAAATTAAAACACATTTCTCCCACCTAGTTAAAAGCTATGGTACATGGACTTAGGATTGAGTATTTGACATAAGAATGTAATTTTTTTTTTGCAATTTTTACATTAATGTTAAGAATCTAAACATCATAACCCATATAAATTTAAAGTGTCCAAAAAGTATTAGACATCAATGCTTTAAGGGGACGCTTGGTTCATGAATTTTTGGATTCTGAAAAAAAGTGTGATCCTTGAGAATATGTGATACTAGGGGAAAGTAGTCATTTTTAAAGCATCCTAGTTTTAGATTCCTTTGTTTGGTTAGAGGGAATATAAGGTTATTAAATCATGTTTATTTACCATAATATCTGTAACAACATTGGAAAAAAAACCTTTGATTTTGTTTTTTAAAAAAAGAATCAAACGACAAATGATGCCTTTATTATCAAATAAAATAAAAAGATTTTATTTGTTTTTAAAATTAAATATATTCAATTACGGCGTTTAATTACACACCATGCCATTATTGGTTGCATAAAAACATTTAAACACTCAATTACGACGTTTCATTTAAATAAATGCCATAATTGCTAGGATTTAAGAATTGAAAATAATCAATTACAGCGTTTGGTTTATAAAACATCGTAATTGCTTGAATATCTAAATGGATAGTGTATAAGATTTTAATACAATAGAGTTAAATATAAATTTTTTATTTTTTTTTATAATTTTGCTTTAACTTAATCTCTTTGAAAAAGCAAAACTTGGTTTATCATTTGGTCCAAATTTTTGTAAAATGACCCATTGTGATTGGTGTTGGTCTCATATGCCATCTTTTTTCACCTTAAAGCTTTTTTCTTCGTTACTTTGCCTTTTTCTCCTTCCATTAACTCTAACAAAACTTTCAACTTCATCCTTTTTAACATCACTATTAGTTTCCATGATGATTCCCCATTTAGTACAAGAGAACTAATAATTTGTTTGTTGCTCAACAAAAAATGGCCAACATATCATTGGAACACCACCATACTTTCAATCGTAGAATTCCAACCACTGTGTGTTAAGAATGCTCCAATAGAAGGGTGGCTTAAAACTTGTTCTTACGAGCACCAACTTGCTAGCAAACCTTGTTTTTGGTCTTTGTCACAAATTTTGGTATTAGAATTATAAAGTCGCCACCTACTAAATCAAGCCTGGTAACCCATAAAAATGTTTGGTTACTATTAGCCAACCTTCAAGCAAATTCAATAAGCTGATTAGATGTCATGACAGTGATGCTTCCAAATTCACATAAAGAACAGAGTTGGTTATTATGGTGTCTTAACGAAGAAACGTCGTAATTGAGTTATTCAATTACGGTGTATGATTAAGAGAAATGCCATAATAGCTAGTTAAAGAATATATGGGAAACCTAAAAAATCTAGTACCAATTACGATGTTTTGTTAACAAGAAATGCTGCAATTGACTTAAAATAGAATTTAATTTCAGTTCCAGATTTACTTTTCAAAAGAGTAATATAGATAGAAAAAGTTTTTTATTTAGGTTAAATTTGGAACTCAATCAACTTTTCACTCGAAATCCTAAAATATCATAAGGATATGTAGGTTTCTAATTCTAATACTTTAGGCACTATTAGGAATATGATATTTTCTCTCAAAATCGAATAACCTTGAACCAAACATGAGAATCAAATACCTACAATCAAGATTTCGAGAAAAAATTTTTGAATTCCCTCGAACCAAACGCACTCTGAGGAAAATTGAAGAATCCATGCAATATAGGCTCCATAGAAGAAATCTTCAGTCACAAAATTTCATGAATTAACTAATAGAATTTATACATTTCAGCCAAAGCCAATTATTACCTATTGGATTCGAGGCGACTTTTCCTTGTGTCATGAAGGACTTTACAATAGAATGCAATTTTTTCTTGACCAAATAATCATATATATAAATATCAAGCCTACCAAGTAAAAGAATAATAGAAAAAAATTAATGTCTAAACTAAAATAAAATTAAAATTCATTTTATGAAATAACATATCTAAATACATCTTGTCTGCTTCCCAATTACTTTATGCCATCGTTTAACCTTAAAAACAAATTAATTAACTATTCAAAACAAAATAAAACAAAAAAATAACATTGATTAAAAGTAAAATTAAAAATTCAATATTCCATAAAAAAATTATAAATTCAATGCAAAAAATATATATGACTATTCTTAATATATTATTAATATTACTCTATAACCATGGAACTAAACAACAAATCAACTAAACGGTCATACTTTTTTCAAATCTTCGAGGTTTAAATTAGCAGTGATAATCCGAAAAACCCCACAAACCCTTACACCTTCAATAGCCTAAATTTCAAAAATGCATGTAATGATAGAAGTCAATCCAACACATTTCCAAATTGCCTAGAGAAAATAAGAATTGCGTGTAAAGCAAAAGAAAAAGAATATATAAAACATGCAAAGCAAAATAAAAAAGATGAACGGAAAATTACACATTTGTAGAGAATTAAATCTTAGAGAGGCTTTTACAAAATTTCAAATAAACAGATAAGAAGATTTAGAAGGATTTATGATTTTCTTCATAACAAGAAAGTATTATCTTAATTAATAGTAGCCTCTGAATCCTTTGTTATGTATCATAGGCTTCTTCTTGGCAGAGCTACTCGTTCTTCTACTTCTCACAAGAACTATTGCATTTGTAAAAGGCGAGTAGAGACTTTTCTCTTAGCGTTGGATGCTATGCAAGAATCCTACTAAAACTGATTCCATGATTAAGCATCACTTAGATGATCGTCCTACAAAAACCTGAAAAAAGCCCATGAGTCGAAAATGTTAAAGAAATAAAAGATAGTAAAATTACCTATCTTCAAAAGCTTTTTGAATAAGCTTGTTCCTTCAAACTTTTGGAGAAACTTCTGAATAAGCTTCTGTCCCAAAATTGCCCATTAATTATTTTATTTTACATTGTTTATCTATCTTTTAAATGTATGTTAGAGATAACTTTTATTTATGTTATAGATTTTTTATGAATTTATTACTATATTAGGATGATGGATTAGATTTATCATCCATTTTATTTATAATATTAATTTATTTTACATTATTTGAGATATTTTAATTTTATAAATAGAATTAAATGTTAATCTTAACTAAATTCTTATGTGTTCAATAACATTTATAGTAATAATTATATTTTAATTAGTAACTCATATGAAGTAAAATTAGAAAACAAAAAAATAATGTAATTACTTATTTATTTATTTATATTTATAATTAAAAACAAAGAAAAAGGAGAAAAATACAGACCAAGCTCAACAACTAAAAATCACTGCGTTTAGAAGAAAAATATAATTATAGCATTATATATTAAAAAAGAAAAGTTCAAAAGCAAGTTACGAGACCGAGGGAGCTTTAACTTTTTCTCTCCTCAGTTTTTATTCTCAAATTTTCTCTCCATTTCCCAATTCTGAGAAACCCTAATTTTTTTTTTTGCTTCATCAATCGATCCTTGCTAATGGCCAACAGTAATCTCCCTCGAAGAATCATCAAGGTTCCTCTTTCAATTTCCCTTCGATCGATTTCGATTTCTTCGATTTGTTTGTTTCTCTAGAATCCTGAAGAAAATCTTCATCTTTTTAACTTTTTTTTTTCATTTTCTGCTTTCTTTACTGGGTTTCTAGAGCTTGGTTTGATAGCTGAATTGTTCAGGGTTTTGATCAGTCACAAGCCTCAGATAATTTATTTTATGATCGTGTTCATAGATTGAACAAAACATTGATTTTTTTGAGTGAATTTTGTTAATTTTCATGCTTTAATTTTGGTTTCTTTTGCTTTGATCTGAACAGGAAACTCAGCGTCTCCTCAGTGAACCAGGTAATTAGTTTGCTTTTTCTTTCCCATTTGATTTTTTTCTTTTTTTTTTAAGAGATTCTTGTTGAATACTTTTAGTATCAATGTTTTTATTTAGTATTTTAAATATTATGAGCCGAAAAAAGTAGTTTTTTTGGGTTTTTTCTGTTAAATAAAAGAGTTAAATCGGTTGTTTTGGAATACAGCACCGGGAATTAGTGCTTCACCATCAGAGGACAATATGCGATATTTCAATGTGATGATCTTTGGTCCCACACAGTCTCCATACGAAGGTAGTTTAGCTTTTCATAGAAATGTAAATTTTGACGGTTGATTGTATGGTAGCTGTGTCTGGGCTGATTTAAGTTATAAAGCGCAACACCATTGTAGATTTGCAATCATTAAAATGATTTCTATTTTCTTAAAGTAGGGAATGTTTCGAGAAAATGATTCTGCAGTGTTTATTTTACTTTTTCTTTTTTTTTTTTCTTGGTTTTCCATCTTTTTAAAGAGAAATATTGGCCCATATTTTTAGTCTTGAAATTTAGGTCTAATTAGTATGCTTTTCGGTCTTATGCAGTGCTTAATATGGTTATGGAATGTTGTTTTTGGTAATATCTCATTATATTTTTGTTGTTTCATTGTGGTATTAATTTTGTACTTATGTATAGGATATAATGAATTTTCTTGTTTGGGATATTTGTTTAGGAGGGGTTTTCAAGTTGGAACTATTTTTGCCTGAAGAATATCCCATAGCTGCTCCCAAGGTGCGTACTTTGAGTCAGTTTTAATAAGTGGCATGACCTTCCTGTTTCTGTGTCTGTTGTTATACGTTGGATTTTTTATCCTTTGATATACAATATTATTTGGCTTCATCTGAAAAAAAGTTATATATATGGGTATTAATATGATTTAGGATGCTGTAGTTTGCTTTGTAGTGAAATCGGTTTTTACTTTGTGCAGTTGTTTTATTGCATGTAGTGTTCATCATTCTCAGAGGCATTCTAGGTGATTATGGAATGTAGTTACATTTGGCTTGTTGGGATTCGCTCTACCTGGTTAAATTGTCTGTTTATTGGTGTTGTAACTAACATGCATTATTTTATATATTGAGATACTTGATTCACTAAAAAAATGTTTTTGAATGCTCTCTCTCTCTCTCTCTCTCTAATAGGAACTACATTTTTGTCCTTCAGTATACTAAACGAATTAAGATATTATAGGAAGTATCCTACTATCTAACTATTAGAAAATTAATTTCCACTAAGATTCTCATATCTTACTCTAATATCAAAATTTGTTCCAGCTCTCTAACTAGTTCAAGAAATTCATCTATAAGTCATGATTCTATGCTTTGCAGTTGGTTCGTGATCCTAGTTTTGGAAATTTCAGGTTCAGCAGCATTTCATTGCTTTTTCTTTTTGGTATGGCAGAATTATATGTCTAATATGTATTATTCTCCTTTTATTTTGATGAACTTTTGGTGGTATATGATTATTTGAATTGATAACATTGAGAGGAAAATCTTGATTGGAATTCATTGTTTAATTGTATGTCATATGCACTGGCTTTCAGAAAATCCTTGTTCTGGCATTATCATTGCCATAGGCTCTACTATGTAGGTAGCTATTCTTTGCTCATTATCATTGCCATAGGCTCTACTACATAGGCAGCTATTTTTTGCTCTGAGCTTTGAAAGTCTTAATTTTACCTGACAACGTTAGCTATTCTTTGCTCTGGGCTTTGAAAGTCTTAATTTTACCTGAGAACGTTAGCTATTCTTTGCTCTGGGCTTTGAAAGTCTTAATTTTACCTGAGAACGTTTATTCCTGTTTATGCCTTGGCATGTGGTTAGTTGTGCAGAACCACCTCTGGTTTGTGTTAATGATCTAATTTGCGTTTGCTTTCCTAATTGGGCTCTGAATGGCTGATATGGTGGCATTTGAGACTTCATTGTCTTCTTCTGATTGATTCTTAATTGTCTGGTTTCCCAAGATTGGGACTTCTTTGTCTCGTTTCTGGTGATTGGACTTGTTTGTTTCTCTTGCACTAGTGGTTAATGAGTTTAGTATATTAATAGAATTGCTAACTGACAGTAGTTGGCCTTTCAGCTACAATTTATTGTTCTTCTCTATTCCCGGAAATTTTCCATCATCCATTAATTCTGTCTTTTTTGGTGTAACAGGTTCGATTTCTTACAAAGATATATCATCCTAACATTGACAAGGTTGGCTGTACTTGTTCCTTCTTGTGTCCTTATTTTGTGGTGTGAAAAATGTATTTTCTTGGCTCTTAGGGGTCGAGCTTTCTTGCAGCTTGGAAGAATATGCCTTGATATTCTCAAAGATAAATGGAGTCCAGCACTCCAGATCCGAACTGTACTTTTGAGGTATTATAAGTTTTTGCGAGATGTAAATCTAGTGTTGTAAATCAGTGTAGGTTACACATGTGGTCAATATGTCATGGCTTGCTGAAAAAGATTTAGCATAGTGTCTGAATTTTTTCTGGAAAATTAAGTATTATAAGTAAAGATGGCAGTTGGATATTTCTTTTCCATCAACGCCTATTTATGTAGTCTTCATTTTGCAAGAAAGAAGTTGATGCAATTTCAAATGCAGTAATATATTAATACTGTAGAAAGGGTTTCATTCATGTCCATGTTGAATTATAGCATCATCTTGAGTTTTAGGTTAACACTCTGGCATTATTATCTTTGTTTCAGCATTCAAGCACTTTTGAGTGCTCCAAATCCTGATGATCCACTTTCTGAGAATATTGCCAAGCACTGGAAAACAAACGAGGCTGAAGCTGTTGAGACAGGTAAAATCTGTGGTTGCAATCTTAGATCATTCGCATTGGATAACACTAACTACAATCGAGGATGAAAGCTGCTATTCTTGTAATTGACCTTCTTGATTTCCTTTACTTTTGCAGCTAAGGAATGGACCCGTTTATATGCAAGCAGTGCATGATATGAGTGGGAAAATGTTTGCCCTCTGAAAGTAACACTATGCAATGTAAGCTATTTTTGACGTGAATTTCATACGGAAATTATGAAGAATTGATGTTTGAATGAGTTTGATATTCGCAAAGCTTCCAGTTTTTACCAGTTAATCATTTACCCGTTGGAAGCAGTCTCTGAACTTGTATGATAATACACATTGTTCTCTGAAACACTCTCGAATGCTGAACTATTGAATTATTCTCAAATTTAGCTAATCAGGTTAAGGTTTTGATGCAGTAGTTATATACCATGTTCTTCAATTGAAAAATAGACTGGAAAATGTAAGTGAAATAAAAGAATGAAGTGAATTAAATTTGGGATTCAGGTTTAAAGTTATATGAATTTTGTTTATGTAATTTGAACAAGTTTTGTGACATAGGATTGGATTGTTTTTAAATGTTAGTACTTTTATTTAATTATTTTAATGACTTTGACCAATTTCATCTAAAAATTTTCCGTTCAATCTTGCTTTAATGCCATCTTGGCAAGTATTCTACCAATTTATCCGTATTACACTGGCCACATATCAGGAAATGAAAATTTTATTTTTATGACAAGCAAAGCCCAGCTTACAATCTGCTAAGAAAACAAAATTAACAGCATGAAATTAGAAGTAATTAGCAAGACTTTACCTTAATGGTGCACAGTATCCAAGAGTGTCTTAGTAGATTATTTTAAGAATACCCAGACGAGTTTTTCTGAAAATACAATATCATTTTTCTGAAAATACAATATCTTTTTAAAAGAATCATAGTCTTGATAAAATAAGGATTGCAGGAGTGGTTTAAACATTTGGTAATTCGGTTGTCTCAATGTCTGCGGTCCATAACAATTTTTAACTCCATGTTGCCAAGTATAATATATTTTTATCGGTCACTGTTTGTCCTGCCAAAAATTGTTTAAGGCTTTATATATATATATATATATATATATAGCGGCAAGAGGTTTTTATGCTTTGTACATATCATTTTTCGGGTCGGTCTATGCAGTTTTATTTTGCCATCTTTTCCTGCTAAAGGTTTAAGCTAGGAACAACTGGTTTACTGGCCAGAAACGCAACCGTGTGCATCCCCATAACTTCAGAAGAGTGACCATACAAAAGGACAGATGAGTCATGATTCAAATGGTTTATTGTATCACTGTCACAATGTAACCAGAATTCTTCTCGAAAGGGTAAAACCACAAATTTGTCTTGGTTCTCTGAAAAACAGCTATCTGCTCATCTCTACAAAATTACAAATACAGTTGACTATGATTTGCAGAAACATTATGGGAAGCAATTAAACTGATAATTCATTAACGGTAGTATTAAAAATGGGTGAACCTCCGTAAAAAACCTATAATAAGACATCCCCAAAGAACTTATCAGAAAAATACAAAATTATGGTAAATGGTGTAAACATTTTATTACCTATATTATGTCTTCAAGTATGCAGTCCATGACAAATTTAAACTCCGTATACCTTGTTTTATCACAATCAAAGTATAGGTAAGGCATCAAATTTGTCTTAGGCTCCATTTGTTTAATAGAAAATAATTTTCAAAAAATAATTTCTGAAAAATATTTAAATTTTTTGAATTGAAAGAGATTTTTTGTTATCTAGATAAGTTAATGAAAAATATTTTTTGTTGTTTAATTTTTTTGGAAAATCTGTTTTTTTTAATAAATAATATTAATATAATTATTAAAATATTAAAAATTATTTATTATTAAAATTATTAATATTAAAAAATAATTATATTTTAATAATAATATTTAATATTAAAATATTATGTTAATAAAAAATACTTAAAATAAAACTATTTATTATTCTTTATATTATTTATTAATATATTATATTAATAGTATATTATTTATTAATATATTATTATAATATTTATTATTTAAATTAATAATATTTATTATTATATTTTTTATTAATATAATATTATTTATTAAAATTAATATATTAGTATAATATTTATTTATAATAACATTTATTAATATATTATTTATGAATATATTATAATATTATTTATGAATATTATTTATTAATACATTATATTAATTGTTTATTATTTATTTATATAATATTATTTATAAGTTAAATTATGCTAAAAAATATTGATAAATAGTTCTACTCATAAATAATATTTTTTTTCAAAAAATATCTTTTCCTGTTTAAATTCGAAAGATAATTTTTAGAAAAATGATCTCATTTTTTATTAACCAGTAAATCATTTTTCATTGACTAATTAATTTTCTATCAAACAAACACATGAAGAAATCATTTTTTAAAAATAATTTTTTCAGAGCTTAATTTCATATTAAAAAACAGATATTTTAGAATAACTCATTTCTCACCATTATATATAGCGTTTTTCTCGGCCGCAAAATTTTCACACCAAAACATTGTAAAAGAAAAGAAGGAAAATAAGAGGGAAGAAGAGAAAAAGAAAAATGAAGAAGCAAGTTTGTTCAAAAGTTTTAGTTCTTATTTGCTTTCTTTTCCTATTTGTAAGCATTGAAGCTCAGAGTTGCAAGCCTAGTGGCAAGATAAAAGGGAAAAAGCCTCCACCAGGGCAATGTAACCAAGAGAATAACTCTGACTGTTGTAAAGAAGGCAAGTTCTACACAACATACAAATGTTCCCCACCTGTTTCCAGCCATACCAAGGCAATATTAACACTTAACAGCTTCGAAGCCAGTGGAGATGGCGGCAGTCGATCAGAAATGTGACAACCAGTACCACTGTGATGATGAACCTGTGGTGGCACTTTCAACTGGATGGTTCAACAATAAAAAAAGGTGTCTCAAGTATATCAATGTCCATGGCAATGGAAAGAGTGTTAGAGCCAAGGTTGTGGATGAGTGTGACTCCACAATGGGATGTGATTATGACCATGATTACCAGCCTCCTTGTGATAACAACGTTGTGGATGTCTCAAAGGCAGTTTGGAAAGCCTTGGGAGTGTCTGAAAGCCAGTGGGGTGGATTGGATATATATTGGTCTGACGTTGATGATTGATTTTCCAGTTTCCAATGTATTTATAGTCATGTCTATTTGTATTAGAATAAACTTTCTTTTGTGTTAGATTAGTGTGCAATAGTACCAAAATTGTGAGAGTTTGTATTATTATATGTGTGTTAATTTTTGAAGCAATATAATTATTTTTTTATACATCTTACTTAAAGTAAGTGCCGAATATGAATATATTTAATTTTTTTAAAGTTTTTTTTTTATATATTTAAAGATTTGATCTCAAAATTCATATTCATTGTTTATGTTTTTACTTAAATCCTCGTTTGGTTAACTAAGTTATGATAAACATAATAGTCAATTTGAAAATAGAGTTGAAAAATTCATATGCTTCATATAACATTATTTTGAATTGGCATCTCTTAGTTAGATTTTTTATCCTATTTTTAAGAAAAATCCGTTAAAAAAAGGAAAAAAAAAGTTGAGTTCTAATTATCTAATATGTTTTGTTCTAGCAAAGTTTCAAAATTTCAAAACATGAATTTTGACTATAATATTGTTCCACTCATGGATTATTAAGATGGAAATGGTAAGATTGCTTTTCATTCATCAATCATCATGATGATTAAAAAATAATTATCGAAAGTCAAAATCTCTTGTTTTAGTTTTAAATTATATTACTTTTAAATGGTAAGATCAACTAAAAGAATATTTTATTAATTCACTTAAGTAAAAAAAAAAACGTAATTTACCCTTTTATAATCCTTGTCTCATTTCACTTGTTCTTTTAATCCAATGTCCATTATTAAGTCAATGGATTGGGCCCAATAAAAGGCCTTGAAAAAGTCATGTCTTATTCTTAGCCCAATAAAATAATAATTTAATAAAAATTCAACAATTAAAAATATTTAAAAAAAAAAGTCAAAGGGTTTTTGGATGTTTTAAGCAGGCCATGGAAGAAAAGTTCGCTTCAACCACCACTACAACGCCAAAAAAACATTGACAGTCTCTCTCAAAAATGCTTTTCAATTTTGTAATTATGAATGGATTTGATTTTTCTTTACTATGTTTAGGGTTTTATTAGTATTTTGTATATTGATTCTTACAACATGTTTGATAGCGGGAGTTACAATTTCAATCCTTTCATTTTTCTTATGGTCCTTGTATTCCATTATTTGGTTCATTTTTTTAGCAAAAAATAATTATTTCATTGAATATCAATTCCGTTAAAATAAGGAATAGCAATTTTGACTCATCCCTAAGAATTGTAATTCTTTACCCATCACGAATTAAGAATAATAATTTATGAATAATTTTGTCCATATATATTTAATTAATTCTAATTTTGTTCTTATATATTTAATTATGATATTTAATTAAATAATTAATTAATATTAATTTAATCAACACAAAATTATCATAAATTATAATTAAATAATATTTAAAACATTATTAAATTAATATTTAATATAAAAATAATATTATAATACTATTATAATATTATTAAAATCATATTTAATATTAAAATATTATTAACTTAATATTACAACTTTAAAAAATTATTAAATTAATTTTGAATATTTAACTAATATTATTATAAGAATAAAATATAGTAACATTAGTTATATAATATTAAAAAATCATTAAATTAATATTAAAATAAGAAAATAGAATTAAAATAATATGTTACATTAAAAATTATTAAAATATATTAAATATTAAAATAATTTTAAATTAATATGAAAAACTAAAATATTAATAAATTAATATTTAGAATAAAATAATCTCAAAATAATATACAATATTAAAATAATACTAAAATTTTTAAAATAAAAAATTCAATATTTAATACTAAAATAACATTAAAATATTATAATATGAATTAAGTAATATGAAAATATTATTTAATAAATTTTGATATGAAAAAATATGAAATATGAAATATTATTTGAACTAATATTTAATATTAAAATATTAATTAATTTATTATCTAATATTTAAAATTAAAATATTATTCAAATATCCTTAAATTAAAATTTATTATAATATGTTATAAAATATTTATATTATTTAATTAATATTGAATGTTATTGAATTAGTTTAATATTATTAAATTTAATATTTAATATGATTGAATTAGTATTTAATATTCTTAAATAATATTTATTTTTATTAAATAATAGTTAATGTAATTAAATTAGTATTGAATTTTATTAAATTCATATTGAATAATATTCAATATTAAAATATTATTAAAATAATGTTAAATTTTAAAAAAAGTAAAATTAAATATGAAAATAAGTTTAAAATATTATGAAATAAATTAAATAATATTATATTCTTGTTAAATTAGTATTTAATACTAAAATATTATT